TTGTTGTTATAAAAGCAAATTAAAAGCAAAATAAAAGGTGGTATACTCAAAAAAGGAGAGCAAAATTAGTTTTTTGCTCAATCCTGTGTAGTGATTATTATTATTTTATTATTTATAAAGCGCCAGCAAATTCCGTAGTGCTGTACAATGGGTGGACTAACAGACATGTAATTGTAACCAGACAAATGAATGCACAGGAACAGAGGGGTTGAGGGCCCTGCTCAATGAGCTTACATGCTAAAGCGACGGTGGTTTCCTCCCCACCAAGGAGGTAGAAACTGTGGCTCCTCTGGATAAAATCTTCAGGGACAAAATCTTCAGGGATAAAATCAGGAAGGTCCAGGTAAGGTAAAAAATGAGTTTTATTTAAAAGTTAAAAAAATATAAAACCTATAACATAATAACAATTTTATTATCTTGATGGCTGAATGATGGCTGGAAATGATAATTTATTAACAAGTGTAAAATAAAAGTATGATAAAAAATATCGTCAATATATATCAACTACAAATACACTCAAAGTAATGCTCATATAAACTGAAAATATTGCAGTAAAAATCGTCCCCTTACAAGCTGTAAGATTGATGTAAAGATTCAGGCTCCGGTAAGGTGATCGTCTGGCAGGTCCGACAGGATGCCAAATATTGCAGCTTTCGCAATATTGAGCTTCGCGGATCTGAGATCTGTACCCGCCCACCTTATGGCATCACCATGTCTATGCATTTACACTTGTTAATAAATTCTACTTATTTTATTACACCACATATTTTATATTCTGCCACCTTTTGATACTGATCAACATTTTATTTTTTACTGCATTAAGGCACTATAGGATCGCTATACATATATAGGTCATCCACTTATCCCTATGATACTTCACTATTTGCTGGATTTTGTATTTTTTTATTCTCTTTTATGTTAACCTGAAAAATTTTGAGTTGGTGCTCTGCCACTGTATGTATATATTTTTGTATTGGTGATTTTGATGCTGCTTGGGAGAGGTTTAGTACAAAGGTGTGAAGCTGCATAAATAAAATGTTTTGCACCAAAGGTTATTTTAGTTTATTAAGCTGTGAAGAGGTACTTTTTCATATTTTGCCTCCCCACCATAACTTAGCGCTTCTAGCATTACTATTTTTTCAAGAAAAAATAACTTTTTACCATACTGCGCTTTCATCAATATATTTATAGATACCTTATCCTCATGGAAGATGACCATAAACCCTTACAGTCCATAATGCGCAAACCAATGGCACTGAGTCCTTCATGACTACAAAGAATGATACTACAGCTCCAGGAGTCATTATCAAAGAAATTCCAGTTGCAGACACGCTGTCTAGAAAATCATTATCTGATCAAGACTCAAGCCTCTGTAAAGGTATGGGCATACAAGTGCATGCTGTATATTACAGTCTTCCTGTCAGTGACCCAAAGCTGGAAGAAATCATGTAAATAGTAAAGGACATTATAAAAGTGGCTGGCCTGATGACAGAAATAATGTCCCAAAAACGTCTTGGAATTCTTTAATCACCGAGATGAACTCTCATACCTACTTGGAATAATCTTTAAAGGTGAGAAAATTGTCATTTTCTCAAACCTTTGTCCTGAAATGCTGTCATGTATACATGACAGCCACCTAGGCAATGAAAAATGCAACCAAAGAGCACGTGATATTTTATTTTGGCCTGAAATGGGAAAGAAAATTTAAGAAATCATCAGTAAGTGGCCCGTATGACATGCTGTACTTTCAACTGTAAAGAGCCCATGATCAGCCACAGAGTACCAGCCATACCGTGGCAAATAGTGGCTACTGACTAATTCACCTGGCACAATATGGATTATCACATGACTGTTGACTACTACAGCAGATACTTCGAGCTGGGCAGACTTTACAGCACATCATCCTCTGCTGTAATGACCAAATTAAAGGCTGCCTTCGCAAAACATGGTATCCCAGAGTCAGTCATCTCAGACAATGGCCCACAGTATTAACCAGGTGAATTTGAAGCAATACATGGGATTTTTCTTGCAAAGCTTCATGTCAATACTACCTGCAAAGCAGTGGATTAGCTGAGAAAACTGTGCAGACAGCAAAATCACTAATAGAAAAAGCCAGAGCAGACAACAAAAATCCATACCTCAGTATCCTGGAATATTGCAACAGTCCTATTGAGAATTTAAGTCACCATCACAGTTGCTTATGACTTGCCACCATGCTTCCACTTACCAACCTACAACTTTTACCCAAAATTCTAACTTCACAAGTAAGTCAAAACCAGAAGGATATACAGTTAGCATCTTCAGAGGAGATACTGCAATAGGTCAGCTAGACCATTATTACAACTGGCTAAAGGGCAGACAGTTCTTGTACAGGATCACGGTCAGTGGAATCAAGCAGTGGTGTACTAACAACATCACCAAACTCTGGGTTTCCTCCTTTACTGCCTTTATCTTCAATTGTTGTTTGTTCGTGTGTTTTTCTGCCTTACATTTTGTCTTCTGCAAATCAAATGCATGCTTGATCGGGTTGAAATCAGATGATTGACTCGACCATTGCAGAATATTCCACTTCTTTACTTTAAAAAACATCTTTACTGTTTTTGCAGTATTTCTGGGTCATTGTCCATCTGTAAAGTGAAGCGGTGTCCAATCAACTTCACAGAATTTGACAATGTGTGATATGGGGGATAGCTGTGAGTACAGTGTATCACTGTGTGTGGGTAGCTACCGTAGCTGTGAGTGATGTGTGTGAGTAGCTATCATGGCTGACCTGCGAGATAAAATATAGGCATATTATTGAACATTAACCCTCTTTCAAATTTTACAAATACAACTGTAGCGTAACGCCAATATTAAATCCACGAATTCCGCTGGTTCAGGAAGTAATCCACAGTCAAACGCTGGAAAAAGCAAGGCAATATCCCAAACCTCCCAGTAACCGGACTAAACACAGTTCTGAGAGTCAACTGAGGTCTTTATTTTCAGCTCCACAATTTATACAAGTCCCCATGCAAGGGGTTTCCTGAGTCCCCTCCCAGGGGCATTCCCAGAGGGGACTACATGGGGCACTTACAATACAGGGCATTTCTCCCATCAGGCACTGCTGCACGAGAGGGATCCTCCCACTGGAATGTACCGTTAAGTGGATTATCCCTCCGTGCAGCAGAACCGACAATTTATATTAAAATGCATAACTGGGGTAATATATGGTCTATTTGCACGAATGGACGTTCGGTAGATAGCTGGGGTCTGAGCGCATCATTCGTGAGATTACCGCTCAGATCCCAGCTAAAACAACCGAACGCCGCACGAAAAACACATTTATTAAAATACATGTTTAAATGACCGATTGCCTTCCAGGGAACAAAGTGCCGAACGGCCCAGAGCTCCCGAACGGCCTGGAGGCTCAGCGGTGTTCGTGCCGTCGAGTAGCCGGTTTTAGTACCATGCGCTCGACGACCTAACACCGCTGAGGGAACAAAGGATCCAAGATGGCCGACTGCCGCATGGTCGGTAGTCTAACGGCGGCCACCTAGGAGAGCCTTTAATTACCGATTGCAACATTGTTGCAATTGGTTAACAAGCGCCACACGCCTCTAAGTGTGTGGGCTACTACATGGGGGTGTTTTCGGTTCACGAACGGCCCGCAAAAGAGCCGTTCGTGAAACGACAGAAAAATCCAATACAAACAGCTATCTGCATTCGGCAGATAGCCAATACAACAAATACATGTAAATTACAACCCGCATACATTCAACATAGTTAAGCCCATATCCCACAACCATATAGGCAACCCTTAAAGGCACAGTCTCTTTATAGTGTCCAAGTGGCTATGTTTGCCACAACAACCTTTCTTTTGAATTTCAATAATATAAGTAAGAACATCTCACTATTCCGCACAAGTGTCTTATAGAGACTGCAATCAATCATGTAAGTGTTCATTTAGAGATGCACACACACACAGGTGCACTCACAAAAACACACACAGATACATAGTCCTGGCCACACCTGATTAGGGAGCTAAAGTTGAGATACTTCAGTCACACATTTGTCCATTTATTAAAAATTTACACCATCACCCCACCACCTGTATTACCACAAATGGCCTGGACTTGCTATACTTTGCCCTGGGGAGGGGAGTACGCCAGGGTTGCCCGCTCTCGCCTCTGCTGTTTAATATTGCCATCGACCCGTTACTGCCGCACTTGTTGACTTGCTAGAAACATTTTGCGACATGGCGAGCCTAAGGGTCAATTGGCCCAAATCATGTGCTCTTTAGTTGAGTGGATGTCCTCCGCCACCACTCCCTCGAGGACTTCCTCTGCGGTGGTGCCTGGAGATCTCTCCCTCATATATAAATTTAATATTCCGCCAATCTTATCGGCCATCTTTGCAGAGTTTGAACACTGGCACAAGTTGCCTTTATCTTACATTGGAAGGGCCAATCTATACAAATTGGTCAGTTTTCCAAAACTGTTATATCCCCTCCAGATGCTCCCAATACTCCTCTCGAATAGTAACGAGTGTTTGTTGAACAAACATCTTAGGCAATTTCTCTGGCAGGGGCTTAGGGCACGCCTTAGCCTTACCAAATTATACCATCACATGGTGTTCTAAACCTGCCTAATGCAGAGGAATACAGTTTGGCTGCACAGCTTAGACATGCGCTAGACTAGATTCGATCTCAAAGCAGATTTTCTAACTTGTCCTTGGAGTCCTATCTGGCATCACCAAACCCACTCGTGGCTCTCTTTCACAGGCCACACCACCTACTCCCTGACTATAGCCTATCTAATCCCCTCCTGGCTACCCCTATTAGGGCATGGAAACAGTCTCGCTCCAAACTGGGTGTTGACCCAATATGTACCATTCACCTACTTTTAACTCACAACCTAGACTTTTCACCAGGCGCTCATCACCCTTTCATGGTGTGGGCGGAGAGTGGGATTGCCAACCTCCGGCCTTTTGTGGATCATGTCGGCCAGAGGTTTCTTTTCCTTGCTGAGCTATGGGAGCGTTTTGCAGGCCTTCCTCTTCCATGGTTCGCTTACCTTCAAACATGACACTACTATAACACCATTACTCAACACTTCACGCCTGTTGACTGGGAGAACCCTTTAGACACAATGTTGTGCTCTTCTGACTCCACTGCCTATTCCATTTCCAAACTCTATAAGATACTGCGATATATCCTGGACTGGAGCACCTTACAATCAGGCATAGGGAAGTGGAAGACACATTTTCCGAACACAAGCCCGGGAGACATGCTCACTGCACACTTCACCCATAGCCAGACACTACCAATGGTGTCTTATAGGGACATATACCTTAAAACTCTACACTACGCTTATTACTCCCATCACCGACTTGTTTCAAAAGCACACACACCAAGGCTGACCTGTATCACAGTCTGTGGGAGTGCGCTCGAATCCAATCTTTCTGCATGCCTATCTTACCACTTAATACTGAATTTTGCTTTTGGAACCCTTACTAGGACTCTCACTACTTAACAAAGGATTCCTCCTCATCGTGGCAGCGGTGGGATGCAAAACCATCCTGCAGGTCTGGAACCAGCCTCTAGCACCCACCATGGAATTATTTTTAACCAAGCTTGCTTTTGTATTTAAAATGGATTGGTTGGACACACTAACTAACAAAGAACTCCTCACCAAAAAATTTCTCTTGACCTGGAGATCATATATACTCACCCTAGACAAAACTTTCAAGACCAAGGTGAAAACCAATTTGGCATACACGACATGGTTCTCGGCTGAGGTGGTGGCGGGTCGAAATCCCCTGATAGTAATTCCCTGATGGGCTTATCTCAACCTATCCCCGAACACTGGCTTACCATTGGGTTGGAGGGCGGGAGGCTAAGGCAAACCGGCAATTAGTTTATGTTCTGTTTAATTTAGTTTGGTCTTTCAATTCATAATTTGATAGGAATGAATCTGTATAGAGTGAGCTGATTGTGGTGTGGTATTGTGTAAATAGGTTGGTTTCAGTTGTGTTGTGTTTGTGGTGTAGAGTGTGTCTAGGTGCTTTAGAGAGTGTGTATATAGGGGGCATAGTGTGTATAGGGGATGTAGTGCGTGTGTGCAAACAGGCTGTAGTGTGTGTGTATAGGTGATGTAGTGTGTAGGGGGTTATAGAGAGTGTGTGTTTAGGGAATGTAGTATGTGTTTGCTTACAAGGAATCTAGTGTGTGCATAGGGGATCCAGAGTGTGTATTTCAGGAATGTAGTGTGTGTGTAGGTGATGCAGTGTGTATGTGTGGGGGGATCTAGTGTGTGTTTGAAGGATCCAGAGTGTGTATAGGACATCTAGTGAGTGTGTGTGTGTGTAGAGGATTCAGTGTGTATATAGGGATCTAGTGTGTGTATGTGTGTAGATGATCCAGAGTTGGGTAAGGAATCTAGTGTGTGTCTGGAATGTAATGTGTTGAAGGGTGCAGTATGTGTATGAGGGTGCAGTGAGTGTGTGACGTGTTCTGTAGTATATATACATATATGTTTGGAAGTATTGAATGTGTGTGTGGTGCACTGTGTGTAAAGGGTGTAATGGGTGTGTGTGAGGCGTGCAGTATGTGTGCGTGAGGGGTTCAGTGTGTATTTGTGAGGAGTGCAGTGTGTATGTGTGAGGGGCGCAATGTGTGTGTGTGAGGGGTGGAGTGTGTGTGTAAGGGATGGAGTGTGCGTGTGAAGGGTGTGTTCTGTGTGTGAGGATGCAGTGTGTGAGGGTGCTGTGTGTGTGTGTGAGGGGTGCAGTGTGTGTGTGAGGGTCGCAGTGTTTGTGTGAGGGGTGCGCTGTGTGTGTGAGGGGTGTGCTGTGTGTGAAGGATGCTCTGTGTGAGTGTGGGGGTTGCTGTGTGTGAGGATGCAGTGTGTGAGGGTGCTGTGTGTGTGAGTGAGGGGTGCAGTGTGTGAGTGAGGGGTACAGTGTGTGTGTGTGTGTGAGAATGCTGTGTGTGAGTGAGGGGTGGAGTGTGTGTGAGGGTGCAGTGTGTGTGAGGGTGTTGTGTGTGTAAGGGTGCTGTGTGTAAGAGTGCTGTGTGTGTGAGGGTGCAGTGTGTATTAGGGGGATGTGTGTGTGATTATGTGCAGGGGGGAGGCAGATATATGTATTCTTTTTTTTAAATTAAAAAACAAGCAAACATGTTTTCCACCATTTTGCCTGGGAGGGGGAACTGTGTTGTAATCCTGGTTGTCCTCGTGGTGAGTGAACTCTAGTGAGAGGAACCTAGAGGAGCTGCAAGATAGAGCTCCTCTGGGTCCTCTCTCCCTCTTTCCCCCTCCGGCGGCCGTGTTTTACTGTCTGTGGGCCGGTGAGGGAGATATTTGATCTCCCCACCTGCCTGTCATGGAATAGAGCAGAGCCGGTGCTCAGATAACGCGGGCCCTGCATGGGCCGACAGGGGAGATCCTGTGACCTCCCCTGCCGGCCCAGGCCTATGGCCATCGCGGCCCACTGGGCATTTGCCCTATGTGCCCGATGGCCAGTCCCGTCCTGGGCCTCCAAGAGTAACTTCTATCTCTCACATCTTCCTCTTACTCTCTCCTAAATGGCCAAGCTGTAGAGGGGGATAGAGGCTGTTTTGGGGGTCAGGGGCTGTAGTTAAAGGTTAGAGGCAGCAGTGGGGGGTTAGAGGCTGAAGTGGGGGGGTAAAGAAATGCAGTGGGGGTTTAGGGAATGCAGTGGGGTGGATAAGGCACAAGAGAAAGGTGCAAGAAAAAAATGTAAGAACAAAAAATGGCTTGTGCAGGAGTTGGGAAATGTGTGAGTCTTGCTGTGGATTACAGCAGCAATGCTCTAATGCAGTAGAAAGAGAATGAAAAACTGGGCCTGAAAGTTGACTATTTGCACCCTGGGCAAGACCAGCTACTTGCTCCCCTCCAAAAAAAAAAAAAACTTGCAAACTTTGCATGTCTCTTTCTCCCCTAACCTTTTTTGTGTTTCTCTTCCCCTAAATCTAAATCCAAAAATCATAGTCTAAACTACCTACAATTTTCCCAATGCTTTTGATGTATCATTACAACGTGTACAATATATGCTAATAATTTTGTGGACAAATTAATTTTTTACAAAAATTATATGTCCCTTCCTCCTGGCACCCTTGTTTTTAGTTTCAATTTTTTTTGTTTTATTTTCCTGCTTACTTTTACATCTTTTTATTACTCTCGTATATACCCCTCCTTCATTGCAGTGTTATTTTTTATTTTCTGCTCTATGTTACACAGGTCTAGGGAGCCTATGAACTATGGACTCCTTCTTGGTGGTGAATTTAATAAATATGATTTTAAAGTAGTGATAAGGTTGTATTTTCAAAAAATTGCAACATCTGTAATGTAATTTAAAAAAATATCTGCAAATTCTATTGCTGACTAAACCACAGATTTTGATAGTACTGCTATTCAAATTCATTTTAGTTATATAAACTTTATTTCAGATGGACTAGAGAGAGAGAAAAAAAAACTATCTATCAAGTTTCCACCCATCCCATGTCACCATGAAGTCTGAGATTTAGAATGTCATGTATATGGGCTAATTATCTTTTATTGGACATTATTCTTCTCCCTGTTTTGTTCATGTTAATAATAGAGAGTTTTCACTTTTTTCTCCTAAATTTGTTAAATTTTTTTATTGTATTTGATAAACAAAGAATATTAGAAAAATCTCCAAACACCATTTTATTAAAAAAACCACAAACTTCAAATGCACCAATAAAAATAAATAAATAAATAAAAGTGCAATGCCCACTGTTGACATAATTACATTTGCTGCAAATTTCTAGTACTTTAAGCATTTGCACTGAACTTTGCTCAGATCTGAAAGAGTCTGAAACTTCTCATTCAGACCGGGTCCTCCTTTAATTTTTATGTTAAGATATACAGCCCAAAAATGGATCCAGTCTTTTTTTTTTTTTTGCATTGACGTTGAGAGAAGGCGGTTGCAACCTTGTGTCTATAAGTCTCTGTTATGTAAATATATAGATATGAACATAAGGGGCTTGTGCACAAAAAAGTGCTTTATTGTGAAAAGTGGTGCTAAGATGTAAAAGGGGAGAAGTCAACAATGGGATGTGCGTGTTGGTTCCACAAACCTCATTGCCTCCACTACACCTGTCAGCGAGTCTTAAGCTGCTGCTAAAGAGCTTCCGTTAGCTCTCCTTAGCTAAGCCCTGTAGTACAAGAATAGCTTATTGACTGAGAGTGTCCTCTAATCATTCTCAGCCAATAAGCTAGAACCCGTACTGGAGGCTTAACACAGGCAAGAAAAAATTTTCTGCTCTTTATTGGCGTGGTGGATGTGGAGAGGGGCACCAAGAGGACTACAAGTAAGAAGGCATACCTTTGTAAAAGGGTGATGCCAGGTCATTCTTGGCACAATAGCCATTACAATGTGATGCAGTGGTTATGGTGCTTAAAGTGTTCCTTTTAATGTATTAAAATAATTTATACTAAGCATGGTGAATGCCCCCGCCTCCCCCTATTTTTTTTTTTTTTTTTAAATGACATTTATTTTCCTATTTTGTGTATGTAATGAATGGTAAAATCAACAAGAAAAAAAAAGATAATAAATGAGGGGGAAAAAAAGACTACAGACAACGCAGGAAAAAAAAAGGAACCAATGTATACAGGACAGAGTAGCGGTTGTATACATGAGGAAATAATGCAAAACAAGAGCTCAAAAATCAGAGCAAACATTGAAGGTCATAACCTCTGATCTCTATAAAAATTAAAACAGAAACTATGGTTGTCTTTATTTAAAAGAAAACACTAATGTTTTACGTTTACACCGATTCTCTTTGCAGCACAGACAGAACTGTAATCTAGACCACAACAAATTTATCACAGAAGCTGACAACCTAATTGATTTGTTTTGAAAAACAAGAGGTATTTAAAACTAGCCAGAATAGGGAAGTAATACTCTAAAATTATTACCATGACTTGCAATAAATCCTTTATACCACAGGCAGTAATGCAGACACAAAGCACAGTTGGCAAAATGGACAGTCTCTGTTATAAATCTGTTATTCAGAGGTGGAAGGGCTATTGAAATAAAATGATTTCAATTTATTATTAACATTTCTATTCATGGAACAGGCACTGCTCTATACTAATGCATACATGAAGCGATCCAAGGTGCTTGCAACCCAAATAACATATCTGCTATTGAAAAGTAATTGCACTGTGTGAAATGTTATAATCATATCCCTTCAAGTTTAAAAGAAATTAGCACTGTAATAGTCACTATGTTTGCATGTACAACACTTGCTCCTAATGCAGACAGAACACACACTAACACAGAAGATGACAATTTAATGTGAAATCTGTGCCATGACATGAAATATAACCAATTTATTTATTAATTACTTATTTATAAAATATTTTACCAGCAAGGATACATTGAGATTTCTATCGTTTTCAGGTATGTCCCGGGCAATTAATTTTAGTCTGTAAACACTTTGATTCTGAAAAAGCTTTATTTATTTATTTATTTATTTTTACATCTAGAATGTCTGATCTCACAAAAGCTTCCCCATTGTACATTGCTCCAAAATATGTTGGTGCTTTAGAAATCCCCCAGTAATATTATTAAACATAATGCTGCTTTCTGGCAGAGCTGTGTGCAGTCTGTGTCCTGGGTTTAGTAGGTGTTGGTGGTAGAGATGCTGCTGGTAAAGAAATGGGTGGGTACACATGGGGAAAAAGGGAGGAGGAAAGGAGATTTCTTCATTGAGGGATTGGTGCTGCCGGCTCCAGTAGCTGTGTTGGTTTAGGATTTTCTCTCCCCCACCCCCCTCTGTCTCTTCTTTGCATGTCTGTGTGTCCGAGGGCAGGAAGAAAGAAAGAAAAGAGGGAGGGGAGGAAGGAGAGAGAGAGAGAGA